CCGCGAAAATAAAGGGTTTTACAGTATCCCACATTGCCTGATGATCAGTTAGGGGGAGAATATTGGTCTTAGAAGGGCGGGAGGAATCATATGTTTGTCTTTATAGACGTAGGCTAGGTGGCGCAAGCTACCGCCCACTATAAAGGGTATAGCTAGTAACACTTATCCATTCGTAAGATTGAGTAAATTTTGGAACACAGCATCTGTCAGCTCTAGTGGCTCTGTGACGTAATCGGTTGCTTTTCGGCGGATGCCGCTCGAGCAGTTTGTGTGCATTTGTGTGCACCGAGCAAAATGGCGGTGGCAGCTGAGGGAAGCGGCGCGTAGTCGGGGTATGGGGGTTGCGAACCGAGCCTTGTGTCGTACAATGCACCTCCGACTGGCTGCGTGGGCGGCAGCACGCGAGCGCAGTGTCCGCTAGCCGCAACATGGGCGGTAAACAGAGCACGTCGTCGAGCGGCCGGCCGTCCCAGCCGGGAGCTGGCGACAGTCGAGCGGCGGCAGGCCCACTGGCATCCCTGCTGTCTCCGGTGTCGACGAGCAGCGGCGACCCCCGGCTACGTGCGCGTAGCCTGTCCAGCGTGCTCAGCATCCCGGCCCCCTCGCAGAGTCCCGAGTCGCCGGTCGAGTCGGGCTCCAGCACGCCGGACGGCACGCCGTTTGGACGTGTGTTCGCAGCCCACTCTCTGCCCGTGCACTTGGTCTCCTTCAACGGTGAGCCCTCCCCGAGTGCGCGGAACCCCGTCTCTCTCGTCCGCCTGCGGGTGTGCGACCTGCGAGACCTCTTCAGTGGGTCTCCGTCGGACCGCCTCTTGTGCCCGACTGGGCGACACGGTCGTGCATTGGGTTGCCGCAGTCTCCGTCGCTCGCGCCCTGCCTCTCGCTCTTGGCTTCGACCAGCCCAGAGAGGTCATGCATTGGCGGGTGATCCCAAAGTGACGCCAGGTGGCAGTGCTGCCAAGGCTAGGAAAAGGAAAACAGCCCTCCTTTAGCCGTCTGCTCCTCATTGGCGGAGAAGGGGTCACATGCGCCAAAGAAGTCTAAAGCACTTGCGGGGGAATGGCCTTGCGTAGCGCCGAGTTTGGGGCAAGGCATATGTTTCGTTTCACGTTCGTGAAATGGAGATCATACACTCCAGTATGATGAACAGAAAGTTTCTTGAACCTTTGGCCATGGTGCGCCATTAAGATATGTGTAATTGGAATGTTTTTATAATGTGAGAGGTGTTTCAAAAAAACCATGAACAAGTAGATGACGCTTTTGGGGGACAAGGCCACCGCCGGCACACATGCCAGACCAAAGTTGACTTGCAGAAGGTACACCTTACACTCTAGTTTGACAAGCAGGAAGCCTCTTTATACTGTGCCATTGCATTTGTTATAACACCAGCAATGGTTTAGAACACCGATGCAGCAAACGACGGGAGCAGACACCTTCCGCACCGTGGAAGACGCCGTCTCGGCAGTTCGGAAGGTGGGCGTCTCATGCAAGGTCGACGGTCGCTTCCTGCTATACGTGGAGCAACAAAAATTTGAAACCGTCGCGATGCTCTGCTCCGCAAGTGGAGCATATGCGGTTACTCAAGGGAAGAGGCTAGCCTGTGTTCAGTCAGTGGGTGCAATAATTCTATAAAGTTGACTGGGGCAGTGAAAAAATTTTTGTACTTTGTGTAATTCCCGCTTAAAATGAGTTGGTGACGTTTATAACCCATGAAATGCATTACGCCCGCTTCAGACGTGCCAACTTTCTCAGCAGTTTGGGGGTTGCTGGTGGGTCCCTAGATCGACACGAATTGCTGAGGTTGGGTCTGGCTCGAAACACTGAGCAACTCGAAGACGTTTGAGGTGGCAGCAGCCAATCAGGAACGCAATATTTTCACGTAATGCCCCGTGCCGGTGATGTTGACAACTAAAGACTTGGTTCCATTTTGAAATTGATCATTTTTGAAAATAAGCTGTTTCAAAAAGATGAGTTAGTATTCTCAATGCCATTTAAATGTATAAAAACATATTTATAGTGCATAACTGTGTCTCTAAATAGTGCAAGAAAAATTAAATTTAATGATGATGATGGCAAATCGTAGCAATTGGTTGGTGCGTGTGAACGCGGGCGGCCCGTGTTGCTGGTGTTGCAATGTGAAGTTGCTGGCAGAGATTGCCCCGTCTGAAGCTAGCCTTAGTCTTTCTCCTTGTGCAGTAGTAATCGCAAAAAATAATGAAAAAAATAAATAAAATGGGCAGTTTTCCTCTCAGCTTGCAGCCAGAACAACCGGCCACGTGATCTGGAGCCTATTATATGCCGCCAATGTTTGTCATAGCCACGTGCTGGGGTTGGCAAAGCACAGAACACGTGCTTAGTGCCAGACATTGTTAGGGTTCGGCTATTGTTGTCGTTGAAGCGATTGGGCACGAGGCACTACCCGGATGGTTGTCGAGCTATTGATTATGGCAAGTCCAAGTCCAGGGCTCATGCAATGCCCAGGTCCAATCTTTGAGCCGCATTCAGAAATTGTCACTGGGGGACACTGCGACCTCGAAACTATGTCATCAAGTTTTGCGAATGTGAGATTGCAAGAAAAAGCTAGCTTTATTCCTGAAATCGCACCGCAACAAAGAGGTTTCTTGGTCAATGGCATTGCATGCGAGTTTACCTGGGTCCCACTAGTGCCGTAAGCTCGCGGAAAGTGAAAAACATTCTAACTGAATATCGTTGCACCGCCCATTTAACGGTCTCTCGTGGGTTTATTAATATTGGAAATATTAAAGGCGTGTATGTGGGACCAGGGGCATCGGAAGTGCTTGGGGGATGAGGGAGGACTAATGAGGGGTGTGTTGCCATTAGGAAGAAATGGTGTGTTGCCATTAGGAAGAAATGTTCTGGGGCCTGTTTGATGCCACTGCGGGGGACTAAATCTGGGAGAAAAAGTCACTGCCCACTTCCCGGAAGTTGGCATTTTCATCTTTGCCTGACGAGAAAAGGCCCAGCTACTAATTTTAGTGATTATTGAACATTCATGTCATTTGTTCTCATCACCAGAGAATTCATTCTTTTCTTGAGCCATCAGCTGTCGTGGCCGCAGAAATTTCTGTGTACAGGCATTCAAGCAGAAACTATGTGTCGCACAGAAAAAGTGTAGACACCACCTGGGTCGATACCATAGTGTAAGATAGGTGCAGACACGCAGCACGGCGAACGCTGCGATGCAATCGACCAGATCCTATTTGTGCGTGCCCAGGTAGCGTGCCAGGGTAGCCTATTCCATTGTTGTTTCCGCCGGCTAGACAGCACAACTGAGGATATATGAAACAAACATACAAGGTGTCTGGTTGCCATGGCACCTGTGCTCCTGTGTTTTTCGCTTGGCGCATCTGCCCTGATCCCAGTGGACGCTGGCTTGAACACCGCGCCAGAGATCCCTTCGCTTCAATGCGTCCATGAAACTGTTCTTGTCCCCAGTGAGGTACTAAACAAGGGTAAATGATGAAGCCGTGTGTAAGCAACATGCGGCTCACCCAGAAAATGGCTTTAAAAAGAAGCACTCCCCTAGAGAAGCATGGGAAACCGGTCCCGTGACAAGCAACCACTAGCCGATTATCGAAGAGTCATTTGGGCTTGCGCCATGGTGAGGACTTTATCTGGCAGCTGCGATGCGTGCGGTGTCCACACCTATCTTGCACCGTGGTCCAAGCTAGAGACACCTATATAGAGAGGGGCAAATCCATTAACTTTTCATTTAGCAAAGAAAGTATTTAGTTTCAATAAGGAATTTTCTTGGTATCATCGGAAAAGACTAAATAAAACACTTGAAGGTGTGCACGCATTGAACCACGTCCCAAATAAGAAGCCGGCTTGAAAGCACGCCCGAGTTTTTGGTTCCCTATATGCCATGCAAGTTTGTCTGGTCTTTGCACACCTCATGCATTTGTTTAGCCCTGAAATGCGCCACATGCTTTTGTTTCCCCCCGACCTCAACCAATGACAAAGCTCGCTCCCTGTGCATCTCTATGTTGCCCTTTCATTGGCGTGTTCCTACCTGCATTCCGATGCGCCAGACACATTTTGGAGCACTTCCTCGGCGTATGGGTGAAACCGAGATGGTGCTTTCAAATGTGGTGTTTTTCAGAATGCAGTATTTAGTGGAAATCGGCTCACAGAAGTGCACGTTTTTGAGAAGTATCCAGGAACTCTCCACGCTCTACCCTAGCATTGGCATTGCACTTGGCATGTTCTCCTGCACACCTGTAAGAACTGCAGTGGCAAACAAACCTTTTTGGGCATGAAGTGCATTAAGAACAGGGTGACAGAGCACCGAGTCATGTCCCTTCCAGTGCTCAACATTGTTTTTATACTTTGCCACTTGTTTGACGGTGTCATTGACCCTAGTAATTTTGTGCTCGCAGGTGAGCCTGCACCTGCGATTCCCGAAATATTGCACAGTGGCCTCGCAGAGGCGGCTTTCGGTAACCCGCTCCAAAACTTTTGTGGAAACCAGAATGCGGACATGTTTCCAATGACCAAAGGGGAGGCGGCGCTTTCAAAAAGTGCTTAGGGGGGCGAAATGCTAAGTCTGCTATATAGCGCATAGTTTTTCCAGGAAACTTTGTGCCCCATAATTTGTGAAACACCCCTTGATGTGATCCCCATGAAGGAAAGGCAACCTAACTGAATGTATTGGGTGCACGATTTACGACCCTGGCCAATGAGAGTTAGTGAAGGTGTAAGGAGGCGGCCACGTGGCAGCGGGACACTTGTCGGGGCAAGGGGGGCATGGCGTGACGGCTCTCCCCCGCAGGCATCAAGTGCCCAGTCTGCTCCAAGTTTGTCCTGCCCGACGACGTGGAGTGCCACCTGGTGATGTGCTTGACCAAGCCCCGCATCAGCTACAATGGTGGGTACGGAGGGCTCACTTTGGGCCCCCAAGTTGCCAGGACTGCTAGCGTTTGGGACGCGGTTTGTGGCACTGATGTCTCTCGTGCAAAGGATCATGTGTACGGGGTTGGATCAAAAGCCTACGAGAGCCATCTTTGGACGGGAAGGACAAGTTGGCGTTTTGATGATGCTGCACCACCACGACTACAGAAAAGCAACTCCCGTTCACTGGGATGTACAAGTACCCTGCTCTGGTGTTAAGTTCACTTTGCCACTAAATCTGCACCTTTGGAGCAAAAATGCTTTTGAGTGGTGCCTTGGCACCATACTGTAGAGTTTTATGCAAATTTAATTAATTGGGTTTTGGACGTCATTGTTTCATTAAGGTGAGCACTTCCAAGCAGTCTGTAAACTTCTAATGTAAAGCCTAAAAGCTGGAATGTGCTGGTGGTGCGCTTAATTTCTCAGAATGGTAATTGGGTCCAGTTTTGGTCGCCGTGAGAGCGGGGTTTAATTTGCCTCTCGCAGAGCAAGCTAAGATATTGTTTGCAGATGGTTCGTCTGCTATCATGAGAGAAGAACAAGGTTTGTCTGCTCCGAAACATAATTTGTAGACGAAAACGGTACAAGAAAATGCCATACGTTATCTGCTAACGAATCTAAAAATAAGTAGATTGTCGGCCATGAACGAGTGTTGTGGCAAAGTGACATAGGCTAAGATCGTGACAGTTAATTCTTTGCTGGAGGCGGTTGACAGCCCATTCTTCTTTCACAAATCTTGAGTTCTGCTGCCGTAAACAACCTGACACTGACTCGTGGATGAAGGAGCACTCGGGACTAGCACATTGTAGGTATAAGACCTCTCACCATTTGTGTGTTGGTAAAAAGGTCTCACCAAAATATTGCCCAATCATGCACTTGGAAACAGATTAGAGATTTCTCATTGGTTGATGACATTCAGCTAGCAGAAAGCTGTGTCGCCGCGTCCAATCAGCAGTCAAGAAAGCTTTTGCTCTCCCCTTGACCGGAGCTTGGGTGTCCTGTGGCTGAAACCTTTGCATCTTGCCTGATGCAGATGATGTGCTTCTAGAAGACAAGGGTGAGTGCGTCATCTGCCTAGAGGAGCTGGCTACGGGTGACAACATTGCCCGCCTGCCCTGTCTCTGCATCTACCACAAGAGGTGAGTGAGGCTTTGGAGCCACACGGTCCCCTTTGCTAGAGCGTTGGAGTGAGAAACTCTGGGAGGCTCTTGGGGGGGGGGGTGCCTGCTGCTGCTCGGGTGACCGGGCCGAGCATGCGCGCACCCTCTTGGCTCTGGTTGGGGCTACAGGGTGTACTCTCACCCCACGTTACTGGATCAGTTGTCAAGCTTCCCAGAACTCCTGGCGCTCGCTATGCTATCGGCCCAGCCCATAGGAACAGAAGCGGTGGAAAATGATTCTATCGGAGTTTTTTATAGTAGACAGAAAACAAAATGTTTGCGCAAAAAGAGCGTCGATTGAAAACCGTCCTGTGGTGCCGCTAGTACCTGCTTGCACGTGGGCAACCGAGAAAGACCATTTTTGAACGACGCTCTTGCATGGAGCTTGTCAGCTAATAGACCTACGGTGTAGATGGGTAATGCAGCCAAGGAGTCAAATCGGCTACAGCCTCCGAGACGTTTGGCGCGTAAAGCTCTCCTCCGGTCCGTCCAAACACTTGCTTGCTCAGAAGAAGGGGCGTGTAGCGCTGCTTCTTTTACATACTGACAATCCGTCGGTCTTGTTCAACTTGTGCAACATGCGGAAGACTGGTGATGTGAAAATGTGGATGATAAGAGACAAAAAAAACGTGCAAGCGAGTTTTCGCTCCGCTAGCCTTACCCCTGTTGCGCAAGTGGTAACTTGAGGGCACCACTGCGCTTTCCACGTGCTGCGAGTCTTTTGAAAATTTAACGATTTGGTGGTTTTCAATGACGCTGAGCAAGTTTTTAATTGAAACCGTATGTTTATCTTCACTAGTTCACCCTTTGACAGTCGTCATCGTACGTGTACAGCAGTCATTACACATTTGAAAGTGCCCGTTTAAACGTGAAACTCCGCGCACAACGGGAAGTGCTGCTATTTGTTATGTCTCTAGCGAACTATGAACATAACGTTTGCACAGTGTTTCGATTTGCTGGGCTATTTATAGTTTCCAAATGAGATGCTTCGCGCACGTGATGCTCACTTCACTGGCTCTTCCGATTTAGACTTCCAACGCCTTTCGAAATTTAAATTCGGAGGATGAGAGCTCATTATCCGAAGGAGATGCTTTGTAAAGTACCTCCAGTTAGGAATCTGAAGCTGCTGGAATGTTACAAAAGGGGGTGCACTAAAATGAAACTGAGTGGAAGAAAGTTGACAACATCGCCTTCAATATTTTTATTTGATATTTCTAAACCTAAACAGCTTGAAAGCACTGTACGTCCTCCAGTTAGATAATTAAGAAAACACCTGCGCATTGACCCTTTATTTATACTATTTCTTTGGAAACAAAACCTGACCGCTGGGAAACATCTTTTGGGAAAATACAAAACTCGACCGTCAAATGGTTAAAAAGTTAGTAAACAAAGTTTAGTTAACCGACTTTTTGCGACAATTGGGAGCGTGCTACATCTGAAGGAGGCGCGCCGATCCGCCTTTGCAGCCACACAAACGACGGCGTTTGCGTTACGTCTGCCCGCTTGGGCCTTGACCCACCGCATCTTGGCCGCGTCTGCGCCTTCCCACGGCTGCATTTCTGGATCTCGATCCGGAGTAAAGGTTTGGCACCTTGACATTGGAAAGGGTATCCCTGTTCAGCGTTGCTCTGTGTGTGTTCTCAGGTCATTGGACCCGCAAAAGTTGCTCTGAGCACCAATTGTCCCAAATTGTAAGCGGCAGCGCCTGCAATACAGCTCCATGTTTTTCGTTTATCTGCTCTGGAACATGCCTCTTCAAAGCGTTTGTGTCTTTGACGGTCCGAAAATCACTGCAAGACGACATTCACCGGTGGGCGCGTTAAGTTCAGCACTCCTGTGCGCTCCAGCGGTTGGAGTGCACAGCTAAGCTAAACTACATTGTCTCACTTTCGGTGCGCAGTGGCAGAGCGTGCCCCGCGAGCTCTGTCATCTGATATGGTGCGTGGGAGCTTGAATGACTTGCCTTCTGGTACGATAAGGAATTTCTGCTCTTGCGCCTGCTTGGACATGCGGAATGACTTAGCAGCTTGCACGGTTGCTTAGTCGTCGTGGAAAAGAAAACACTGTTGGTGTTTTATTCCCACAACACCGGAACCGGGAACATTGAAAATGGGTGTCGGATGGTGCCTTGGTACGAAACAAGTGCCGCTGTTAAAAGGGTATTGAATAAAAACTTAAAATATACCTCTCACGTTTAGAAATAAGTTTAACATGATCAACTCTGTCTGCTAATGACAATTCCACGCTTGTATTTTGAACAGATGGCTATATTTTTCGTTCCAATGGACAACATTCCAGCAAGCGCTGAAAGATCAACCATCGTAGAGTGCGATGCATCACGGGAGATGTGACAACAGTTGTACCAGCACGGGCAAAGCTGTGACGGCTTGAAGCTGAGGTAGTTGGTTCATGCTTGTTAAAGTGCCAGCTGAACGTTTTAAGGACACACACACAGAGACGAACAGAACGAAACAGACGAAAGAAGGGGAAGAGTGGAAGACGAAGGTTCAGGTATAAAAGAAGAGGAAGAATCTGTTTTACGCAATATATAGACTAAAGAGAAAGAAGATTTCATTAAAATAGTTACTAGTCCAGCGGTGTGTCTGCCTTTTTTGTTTGTCCGTGTGTGTGTGTCCTTAAAACATTCACCTCGCACTTTAACAAACGGGCAAAGCTGCTTGGAGGCTGGCGTGGTTATGAGCTCCGCCACTTGGTGTCGTCAACGCATTACAAACTGGTCACTGTAGTTGCCCCTCCCCGCAGAAGTAATTGGCCGGAAGGGAAATCCAGTTCGACAGGGCTCGCATGCACGCTGCTTACAGTCATCCTTCCGCGGAGCGGCGCTGCTTTTAAGGTCGGAGTGACGTAATGACATTCAGTTTATTCCTTTTGCATGGTGTTTTGGTGTCATTTGGACCAAAAAGGTGGTGTCTGCGTGGTGCAGCCAGAACGTGGTTGACATTTTGACAGTAAAATAGGCGCTTTGGTTTCCTTTAACCCTTTATTGACGAGATATATAAAAAATTGCTTAAAACATTTGTTTTTAAAGATATTAATGTTTAACAAGATCAAATTAAAGAACAGAGCTGAAGTTAAAAAAAAGGTTGTAAGGTAAACTTGCAAGTTATAGCTTTGTTGCCTGTGGGCCACACCAGGCAAAAGGGGAGTCCCTTGCCTAACCTTTATGGATCACTATAAAATGTCAATACTATCTGCTGGGATTAAGATGATTGCGGCTGTTTTCACCAGCACGTGGAGGGTATGTGTTGTTAGTTTGCAGGTCTTGCGCAAGAGAAAGCACCGACTGTAACCTTGAACGTCTTGCATAACATTGTGTTCAGACAAGTTGACACTAGTTCGAAACTAAGATGAGCTGCTGCGTGCAATGTCTATGCGAAATGCTTCTGCTTGGAGCTGCACCGTGATGTCTCGTCGTACGCTTCCAATATATAGCTTACCTGCACAGGCTGGGTTAGTCTAGCCTTTGGGGCTTTGAAAAAAGAATCTGTAAAGCCGAAAAGAAAAGATATGGGGTGGCTCCTCCAGACAAGTGTGCCGGAGAAGGATGGTGTGTTTAGAGAGCACTGGAGACTGTGGCGCATCTGGAAGTGGCCAGCAGCTGGGACCTCTCGCGCAGGTGCATCGACGCCTGGTTTGAGGTGAACCGGTCGTGCCCCGAGCACCCCCTGGACTGACCCTGGGGCCACGTGCCTTTGTGCCTGGGGTGGGGCGCCGGCGGGAGGCCCCAGGAGGGCCGCTGTGATATTCTCGGCTGGCCGCCCGGGAGGGCCAGTCTCCCGCGGGCCTCGCCAGGCTGGGCCAGTGCGTCGGGCTTTCCCAGAGTGCAATCGAGTTCTGTTACTCCACCCGGAGTTATCTTAGTTTATGGGAGGACAGATGATATATTTACACGCTGGTTTCTCGCATTGTGTGTGCTTTCGAGCATCGGGGAATTTGTAAAGTTGGAAACCTTTCTACGATGCGCTTGGGTGGAAAGAAAAAACGCCAGTATAAATTGCTGCCATAGCAAATTGCAAGTAACTGCTTGTATAGCATGTGTGCGAATGTGGTTCCTTTTTGTTTCGTTGTTTTTTCGTACAAACACTATGAAAATAAAGATTATTGCGCATTTTTTTAAACTTTCACCGAGGTTATGCATTTGTTGTTGCGGTGTTTGGAAAACTGTTCAAGGTTTGAATGATCTCTTTTTGCGGCAGACACGGCTGTCTTTTGGCGCCGTCCTGGGGTTCCTTCGATTTCAACTCTGCTCCTCTTTGGCACTAAGCTCTCCACAGGTGTTGAGCCCATGAGTGTTCATGTGCCCAACGAATGTGAATGGCTTTGGAAATGTCATTAATTATGGCTGGTTTGCTCCAGTAGCTACATGCAATTAGAATTACTAGTGCAGCAAAAGTAATTACGATCACTGTAAACGACTTAATTTTTTTGCGGCTTTAATAACATGGCAAAAGATGGGAAATTAGGTAGCATACCAGCCTGATTCGCGAAATTACGTGCCCACGAAATATTTCCAAAAACCACACATCGCCAAATTTGCCAAGTATTAAGCCCGCGAAAATAGTCATTTACAGTATGTATTACTTTGCAGTTACTTTCCCTCTAGAGCTATTCGAGTTCATTTATGTTGATGCTATAGCATTTCTCTGCCCCAAGATGAATTCGTTCCTTCTTTGTATGACTGTGGAGGAGTTCTGGCACAGCATTTTACACTCCTCACATTTGGTGCCTTTGTTTCAACTACTTCATTAATGGTACAATATGGGAGTTGAGTTCTGAATATGAAAAGTCACTTTATTATTTTCAAACTCCATCAAGATTGTTTGTGTTCTTTTTATTGTAGCAGTTGAAGCTTAAAGCCACCCATTAGTGGTGGTAGGTGCTGAAAAAATCTAATGGAGGCTCAAAATTTTCATTATACTCTTGAAATAATGAAGGGCAGAAATTTTCTCTAGCCACTCAAAAGAGATTACATTTAGTAATGCAATTACAAACCAAATATGATGGCAACTCCCACTCATCTCTAATTAAATTACAAAATCGGCTGTGGTAACAAACATAGAGTTAATACAATAAACAGTAGAGATTCAGGTGGTGCCAGTGTGCTGTTACATTTTGAAGCAGACAGCAACCAGTCTAAATTTGACTTCCGGTGATGCATTCCTATAGGAAAACGCAAATGTGTTTTCTCTTCGCGCTCGATTATAAGAGCAAGTATTGCTTAGTGCTGTGGCAGAATAAAAAGTTTGGAACGTTTTACAATCGGATGTACAAAAATGTGTTGGAGCGTTTTTCTTTAGAATTCATGGCGTCGAACATTGCGCTAAAATAGCCTAATACACATTTATATGTGTTGATGTTGCAGGCTGCTATTATAGCACTCATATTTACGCATATAGTCAATGCTATGAAGCACACAGAGTCAATCAACTTGACAAAACACCAGAAGGATGCTAACATATGCCAAATCAAACAATCGAGACAAGAGGGAAGCATGGAGTTGTGGAATTAACACATACTGGATTAGTAACAAACTGTGCATGAATAATCGAAATAATGCAGTCTTCTGTCATCTGAATGGTATTACAGCTTGAATGAACCCTATGAACTTTTTAATTATTATTTTTGCTTGATTTGATAGCTTGTATTGACATATCATCCTGTACAACATAGACCGGGGCCTCAATTTTTGCTAACTCAAACATCACTCAATAATAAAAAAAAAAAAAATAAATAAAATAAATTGCACTTTTATAATGTGAATAAAGCTACATAGTACCCACTACAAGTAAAGAAACTACACTGATACTTATTATTGCCTGGCGAAGAGACAAATATCACATACGTTTTCCCATAGGAATACACAGGAAGACTGGAAAAGTAGACTGTTTCCTGTCTGCTTCAATTTGCAACCGGAAGTCTCGTAGACACTAGTGCCAGCTGAGCCTCTAGCGTTTATTGTAATAACTTTATGGTAACAAACAAAATTATACACGGTTAAATGTAGATGTTCTAAGCCAGGGGTCGGCAATTTTTTGCTGCAGCAGGCCAAATCGCCACATAGTGGAGGCGGAGCATGCCAGATGGAGAAACTGAGATGGATTGGGGGGGGGCAACAACTTATAGAAATGGAGCAAAAAAAACTCTCAGTAAAATTTTGGGTGTTCAATATTGCTTGCCAAGATGCAAATATGCACATTTAAACTCTTAACCGAGTCTCAAAACATTTTGGAGGTGCTTGTCTGTCATTCACAAGAATCACGTTTGACTTCACAGTCTTCATCTTGAAAAACTGTGTCTGCTGATACATACGTGCTGTAGCGAACACTTCGATCAAAGCCGCTGCTATATTTCGTAGATTTAAAAACTTTAATCCCAGGGAGGCCAGCGGAAAGCTTAACAAAGTTGTTCGGTACAAATGCATTCTTCAGCTTATTCTCCGTTTGGGGATCAGCTGATCAGCGAATTATATCTGGCAAATCTCTTGAACTTGTTCAGAGTTAATGCAGCCGGTTGTACCGGGATGGCAACCCAATGTACCTCTTTTCCTTGTGTGTAGGATGGGTGGGTTCATTTTTGGTGGCGTGTTGGGGGCCGTGTAATATTGCTCCGCGGGCCGGATGCGGCCCACGGTTGCCGACCCCCGTTCTAAGCTGTGCAGACTATATGACTGTGGACTGCGCAAGAATCTATTTTTCAAAATCGCTCAATGTCGGAGTGGTGGTCACCCAGTGCAGGTGACATTGTTTTCTGCTGGGCATTAGTTGCCCAGAAAAGTTTAGACGCTCATTTAGTGGCTATCGCCCTTGGTGCCCCCCCCGGGTGATGGTGAGGTACCTGCACCCCTGTGGACATTGATGATCCAGCCTGATCTTAGTGGCACATGCTGCTTGCAGTTGTGAGATCATTCTTGGAACTCTGGACGCCTCCGAAATGAAAGGCGTTCAAGCTCATTTTCATTTTTGTAAAGAAAACAAAAAAGAATTTGCATTTAGTTGTATTCTTGTGTTAGTGAGCATAGGGTGCACTTGTTACTTTTAACAGAAGTAAGGCACAAATCAAGTTAGCACATTGTGCAGTCTGCAGCAGATCTGGACTCTCTAAGGAAGAAGCTTTTTGAGCTAAAATTTGCCCCTGCAGACTAGCGCAGACTGGTCCATAAAACACTCCCTGGTAGCCACACCAGCAAGATTGTCATACTTACAAGTGGGAACTTGTTCTGAGCGTGTGCTCAAATGGGGTGCCTAGTGAACTCTAAAGGGACCTGTAGAGCCAGTGCAGCTCCATGTTCAAGATCCATGCTGACAAAGGGGACAGGTGCATTGCTCAGGCTTTCTGGCAAATGATGACAGTTGAACCCCATTAATGTTTTGGGGAGAACTAGAAACCGATGACGCTTTGGGTGGTCGTGCAGGAAGCACCTCTTGCACAGCAGTGGATTTGGAATGGACAATGTCATTCCTGGCGCCCCCTGCCCCTCGGCCGTGCCCATCTGGGCACGGCCGAGGGGCAGGGGGCGCCAAACGCCCAGGTGGCTCTCCTCCGCACCTTTGGTTTTGGGGGAGAAACGGCTGGGCCTTCTCTCCCAGCTTCAGTTCAATGAACATGATGAGTAGTGATGGCCTGTAGCTGAGCCAGTTGGTTATCCATGCTTACCGATTACCAGTTGAACGTTAGGAAAAGCGACGAAGAGAGAAAGAAACACACTGCTGGACTATCAACCCTTTTAATAAACTTCCTTTTCCTCAACCCAATCTTAAAAGGGTAGCTTCTTCTTCTTCAGTCAGAGCTTAGACATAAACTTCCTTTTTCTCCTCATGAACCGTGGAGTTCTCCTCCTCTTCGACTTTCCCCATCCTAAAAGGGTAGCTTCTTCAGTCAGAGCTTTGACAGAAACTTCCTTTTTCTCCTCACGATCCTTGGAGTTTTTCTCTTCTTCGACTTTCGGATCTTGAAAAATTTCCTTCTTTTTGTCTTTTATACTTCCGGTGGTATCACCCTCGTTTTACTCGGTCGGATCTTGGAGTCACAAGGTCCCAACTTGGTTCATCCGAGGTGCCGCTCTCCTCAGATACATTTTTTCTTTGGGCAAGAGCGCAATGGATGCAACACTCACACATTCTCCCTCCCCCTCCTCAATGGCCAACGCCTCAAGGAGCTCCCTTCCAAGCTGCTTTCGGTGTTTTGCTAAGACGGTAACGCTTGTGAAATCAGGAGCACATTTGCAGGCCCGACAATGTGCCGAAAGGTGGCCCGCCGACGTTAGTGCGGTCACAGAGGCTGCATGTTCTCTGGTGCGGTCGTTGATGCACCTCCCTGTTTGTCCTATGTAGCTTTTGCCACATGACATAGGGATCTTGTAAACAACTCCTTTTTCGCATGGGGCGTAGGGTGTTCAGTGCGCAGTGCTGTAGGTCGTCGTCCCGTTCTGGGCGGTTTTCCGGTTCACCGTACGGCACATGGCGTAAGCCTTGTTGGGGGCGGAGCACACAACGTGGATGCCTTGTTGGCCGGCGATCTTTTTTAACCGATGAGTAATGCCGTGAACATACGGGACCACTGCGAAAGGCGTTGGGGGCTTCTTTTGCGTTGTTTTTTTCTTCTCGGGATTTTGACGTACTTGCCTACAAAGCTTTTCACATACCGATACGAGGAGGGTACTTGAGTACCCAGAATCCAGGCAGAAGAAGAAGCTACCCTTTTAAGATTGGGTTAAGGGAAAGGAAGTTTACTAAAAGGGTTGATAGTCCAGCAGTGTTTCTTTCTCTCTTCGTCGCTTTTCCTAACGTTCAGCTGGTAATCAGTGAACATGATGAGACTGAGTGCATTTTGCTGTGAGCCTATGGGACTTTCTTGGAACCGAGATATCTGTTGGTCTCCGACTTTCGAGCCAATTTAGTCCGCATCCTGCATTGCTGTCGTAGATTTTGGGGGCTTTTAGAGTTGTGTGTCGGGCTAATATTGATGTCATGCGGTAATGTCATTCTTTTCATTTTAAAATTTCATTATGAATGAATAACAATACTAATCCCTGGGGACAAATCCAAGTCTCCAGACACAGCTAAGTGACTGGTGCGTGACCGAAAAAATCTGCCTGGTCCTGGTATTGAATCGGGGACCTCGCCAT